TCAACGAATTTTTATAGAAGATGACTATATTGTAATAATATTTTTAAAAAAAATTTTTTCTTTGAAAATTTTTTGGAATAATTTACATCGTTTATAAACCCTTAACTATGATATTAAGGATATTCATGGTTTTAAAACGCACAAAGTCAGAGATATATTTATACGGATATTGATTATAATAAGTGGGGGTACGCTTGTTCTATTATTTCACTGGAAACCATTATGGAAATTGAAAGTCACGAATGTTATCACGCAACTCGAGACATGCGATAAAGTTTTGATTAAGGTATAATTATAAAATAAATAAATAACAGAAATAATCATAAACCCAAAAAAGGCTCAAAATAATTTTTTATGTCCGAGCCGGACAAATTTGCCCAAAATATAATTTTTTTATTTACATACCTGGTCCAAGTTTTAATTTTTAAGCTGATAATTAAATTAATTTATATCACAAAAAGAAACTATCACCGGTCAGCATCGGCAATTTTTACAAAATTATTTTACGGGACGGGGCAGGCCTGTGTCGCCATCTAGCTTTGAATGCCGGCATTCAAAAATGGATACTAATCGAATAGTTCAATATTCGATTCGTAATCGGTTTTGAATGAGTTGGATTGATTTTTTTTTTAAAAAAAAATAGGATAATGAAAAGTTAAAATTTTGATATTTTTTTTTAAAAAATAAATAATTATATAGATCTATTTTATTTAAATAGGACAAATATGGGCAGCATTTTATTGAAAACATCAAAATCCAGATCAAACATCACCGAAATTGGTAATGAAATAATTAGGATACAAAATTTGTCAAAGGGTGGAATGCTGAATAAAATCCTTGAATTTTTTTTATTAAATAAATAGAATCTTTCTTTCGAAAGGAAAGCTATGCGAGACAAGAATGAAATTTAAATTCTCTCATAAATTTAAAAAAAAAAACTATTTAATCATGCGGAAGACAAATTGTATTCATTATATTCTACAAGTTAATCGTAATATTTCTAATATCAGGGACATTGACAAAAATAATTTTTTTAATGGTTACCTAAAATATAAAAAATATAATTAATTAAATTTAACAAAAATAAAATGGCATTAATTTTAATGTAAAAATAAAATAGTAGTTTAAATCATTTTTTCTAATACAAAAATTTTTAATTTTTTTTAGAAATTTGTCATTTATAATTAAGATGAAATAATCAAAACAAAACAAATGATCAACTATGAAGAGAATCTTAATAGTATATACTTTTGGAGTTATCTCTAGTTCTTCCATTATAATAAAAGTAATAATACAAAAATAAAAAAAATTAAATAAAATTTAATCAATAGCTTAAAATTTATAAATATGGTGTAATTTTTACGGAAAAAAAAGTAAAATGAAATAATTTATACTTTTTAAATTGTAATAAGAAATGGGCAGTTATATTAATTGAAATAGGAAGTATTTAAATTAAATAATTTGACTGTAATTATTAATTTACATACAAATTTATAAAACTTTGAAAAAATTTTAATGGAAGATTCCGAACATGTAGGTTTATATGGTAAAATTATATACTTATTTTGATATAAAAGTGATAAATAATTAGAAATAATCTTTTATTATACGAAAATTAATTAGCAGAAACCTCTCAAAGGAACTTCTAATTTTACAGTCTTCTGAGATAAACGAAAACCGATTTAAAATAAATTAAAAATTATTTAGAATATTTTCACGAATTTATTTTATTCTAAATAATTGTTAATATAGTAGGTACGGAAAAATAATTTAGAATAATTTCATAAATTTCATTTTATTCCAAATTATAACAGTGATAATAGTATATAAGAAAATTATTTAGAATATTTTCATGAATTTATTTATATTCCAAATAGTACATTAGTGTTAATATACTAGCTATAAAATGATTTCGAATAATTTCATGAGTTTATTTTATTCCTTACTGATAACATAGTAGTGGTGCTGCGGTATTTTGGCTCCTCCAATTAATTTGACCCTGGTCAGGCACCATTTTAGGATGTTCATTTTTGAGATTATAAAAATATATAATTACATCGCCGCTAATGGCGCTACATCTAATTCATCTACACAATTTAGTGAATAACTTTTTCTCTATTGAATATCACAATAATAATGCACAAATAAAAATCGAAGTAACAAAGGAAAAAATATATAGCCAAATCTGTTAAAATTAATACTGTAAAGTAACGTGTAAAAGTAAAGGCGATTTCTTGGAGTAACGGTAATCTAAAACGTTATTTGTTACAAAGTTTTTTATATTGATTTTATATATTATATTTTTGTTGTGGGATTTTAAACTGTCAAGATTGTTATTCTAATTAAATAATGAATCTATCAAGGTATGTTAATTTTTATTTTCATATATTATAATATAATATATTATATAAAGAATACATGCCATTAGTATACTTATTACTTCAGATGAAGATGATTTAATTCTGCCCTGACTACAATGTTCAGCACATCAGAAGCTGCGTTGAGCACTAAACACTCTTGTTTAAACAATTTGAAAATAAATTGTTATTAAAAATAAATAAAAAATTATTACGAAAAGATATTATCTTATCGTGATAATATTTCTTGTATAGTTTTATTTTTATTATCTTTGGGGAGAAAATATCAAAATATCAATACCCCGATTTAGATTTGAGCCAAAATATTATTATATAAGTCTCGATGACAAATAAAGGTCCAAACCTTTCTGCCATCTTTGAGCAAAATATCTCGGCTTATATATATTGTTAAAATCATAAATGGGCTGTTTTTAAAAATCAATCCAAATCGGTCATTTGGAAATTTAGATTTTTTTAAAATTTGTTAAATATGATGCTAATGGTAACGATTAAATATATTTTTTTGATCATTACTAAGTTTCATATAATATATTTTTTTTTGTTTTTTTAAAAAATAAGCAAACTAACGCCAATATATCCGGATGAATTTTATTGGAATATCCCACAGATTTCCTGCACCAAAGAAAGATTATTGACTCCCATTAAAAACGTGAAAAATTTTAAATGACTATTTCTTACTTAAACGCATTCGAAAAAATATTTTTTTATTTTTTTATAATTATTTATTATTCTATAAGGGATTTAAGGAAGTTGATGTAGTTAGATATTTTTTTAACAAAATGATCAAATATATGTGGATCGCAGAAAAGAAACGATTCCGAGCTCTCACGTATGTTTCTTAATTTATTTTTAATAAGTATAAAATCTGATAGGGATCTGAACCGAACCTCACCCAAACTGATAAATTGAAAATACCTGTTTTTACTCAATCTAAAGATTCTATAAAAAAAAATTGTGATTCGAACTTGAATAGAACATATTATAAAAGGTCAATATACCGGTTTGAGCCTTTTGATGTTCTAACTATTATAAAGATTTATAATAATAAAGTTTTGTTGATAAGTAATTGTAGATGTTTTTATATATTGCTATTTGAAGGTGTAAGCTACTCAAAGTAATTTCATTGAAGTGTTCTTAACCATAAAATCTATCTATTCAGATAGATTTGACAAAAGAGAATCTGGAAGACATTTCAATCTTATACGGCTCAATACTATTTTTAGAATACCATTTTAATAAAGTTTGGACACGAGGTTTTAACCGGTTTTTTATTTAAACAGAAATTAATCTCTTTAAGAACCTAACCTGAACCGCTATTTTTATCTGAACTTAGGAATAAACAATAGTTGCAACGGATCTCTGAAATCTTTAGAAATTTTTTTTTATTTGGTTCTAAATTCTCGTTTTTGGGAAATAATACATTTCCTTAAATTCTAATTTATTGGTGGGAAAAAAAAATTAAGTTCAATCGAAAGCACAATTGATTTGGAAGAATTAATCAGAATGGAGGAGATTGATACATCAGACGAAAATAGCAGGTTAAAAGTATATTCCATATAAATTATTGCCTAATGATGCCGTAATACTTCCAAGTATACCCTGGAATTTTTTATTATCCTCATAAAATGTATATTAATAAATCAAGAGAGCTGACCATTGATGAAATGAATCTAGAGAGGCATATTAGTCTCTAGAGGGGGCTCGGCTGAAGTTAAGAAAATAATCTTATCAGTGGATTTTGAAAAAAAAGTTTCTTGGTCATTTATACACAGCTGGCAAGGATTTAAAAAAAAAATATTTTTCTTTCCATTTTCTCCGCCAAGTCTGGATTTTCAAAATTTGGTCAATTAGAATAATTTTGACTGAATTTTATAAAATTTAAAAGGTAATTGAAAATATGAGATATGAATATATTATGAATCCATTATATGATTTCTTAACTGTATATTTAATAGATTAAGGTAATTTTAAAAAGATTTGACCCCCGGGTTAGCAATTATTTTTCTAATCAGGCTTATATTAACATGCACATATATAACCTGGAGGGAGAGGGGTGGCAAGGGGAAATTTTACTTACCGTAAATATCATTTAAGCTAATAAATTTGTTCCCATAAAATGAACAATATATTATTTTAAACTATAATCTGAAAGTAAATTTAATATTTTTAAAAATTATGACTTATAATTCAAATTTTTTAGAAAGAATTATTTTTATAACAAAAAAGTGAATAATCAAAACTATTATTTAAAAAATATAACATAATCAAAGACCTTAAAAATCTCCAATAAAATTTATTAGTGAAACCCAACCTAATAAATAGTACCCCTCTTCCCCCCCCCACTTCCCAGAAAATCCTGGCCTGTTAACTCTCAGGTTTCTGATAAATAGTATAAAATTTAATTTTATTTTGTAAAATTGTAGAAAGATATTATTCGGTCCGAACAGCTTTATAACTTACCAGCAATCACTTTTAATTTTATTCTTGCGTCAAGTATTATAATAATAATAATTTGTATGATTATATATATTTTCTATATAAATTTTAAATAGTTGATCACACCTTTTCCTATATACCAATTATTTTGTAATGTCATGTATGTTTGGCATGAATATTATTTTTTTATGGCTCTGATTGATGTAATGACATTGGTTAGTTTATTTTATAATGCTTGGAAGGAAAAACAAGTAAATGATTTTAAATTAATTTATCGGAGTTTTTCTTCTTTTTTTTTAAACTTAAGTTAAGCTGCATTTTTAAATTTTAAATTTATTTTATATTAGGCACCCTTGATAAACAATTTTATTTATTATTTTGATATTATATTTTTGTGTTTAACTTAAAAAAAAACTAATATTATAATTATAAATATAGCAAACTTTCTTATTTGATAATTGATTATCCCGCTTGCTACATATTATGGCTATTTATTTCAAATAGTACTAAAACTAATTTTGATATTCAAATTATACGTGATAGTAAATGCATTACACTTTACGTTATATGGACTAGCAAGGTTATGCTTGGATTCTTTCAAATCCCATCTAATTGGGTTAAGAAATTAAGATACCCTGAGAGAGAAGCCTATCTAAAGTTATCTGTTAGCACAAGAGGCAAAGGCACTTAGATATATTCCCACGGGAGGTAAGAAGGTAGAGAAAAGCCCGTACATGATTAAATAAAAGTTTTTATTTGTGGAGGGGATATTGGCTAATTTAATTTTAGGTTGACTTGGTAATTTGATATAGAGAATTATTTGAAACCTAGACAAAGATGTTAAATAAATGAGATAATAAAATTGATCTTTTAATTAGGAGATGTCTATATGAAAACATATGCTTAATAGCTAGAGCTTAGGTTTATGAAGGTTGTTTAGCCCTTAAGCCGAAGGTACGATGAGCCTGTTTAAGGGGGTATACAATTACGATTTAAGGGAGTATACAATTACGATTTGTATTTGCTTACAGCATGTTTCCTTTGTTGGATTGCAACCATTACAGATAGTTTATGGTTGATTTTAACATCCCTTAGTCTAGCCTCAATTTATCTACTTGTACCCTCGTTGTCTATCAAAATGTCAAGGTCTTTAAAACTGGTTACCATCTTTAACACTTTGGATTGAACCCGAAATTTTTTTAAAAAATTTTTGCCAGCCCGGCCCAAACCCAATTTTTTTTTTATAAAAAATTTATCAGCCTGGCCGAATCTATTTATAAATTAATTTTTATAATTATTCAAAATAAAAGATATATGATATATGATAGTTTCTATAAATAAAATAAAATTTTTATTTTACATAAAAAATTCAACATAAAATTGATAAATTTAGATAATTTTAAAAAATTTCCAAGGCCCAGTCGAACCCGATTTTTTTAAAAAAATAAGGCCCGCAGTTTCGGGGCGGGTACGGGCCTGATTTACTTTTGCAGATCTCTATAAGACCTACTAATTTAATATTTATTAATGAAAAACTCCTATATATCATCCCCACAAAGACTGAATCACCATGTTGGCTTCAGAAGCGATGCTCTTATTGACTCGGACACAGACGCTTTCTGAAAATTACGATTTTTTAAATATAATAATTGAATTTGGCAGTGCCTATCCAAATGAATAATAAAAAAAAATTACACATTAACTGCCTGAAAACCATATTTTGTTGAAGGTAACGTGTAGATAAAGAATTTAGGACAGTTAACACATTATTGTTTTGTAAAAAATAAATCATTGGACATATGGTAGGGGCAGGAATTTCTACTCAGCGACATGAGTATGAAGCAAGGTCCCTAATAAGATTGGCGGAACTTTAGTGGGGTGGGGGCATAGTGTTATGAAGATGTTATCCTAATTTAAATAAAATTGTAGTAGGGTAATTTTGATTTTGGGGTTCCTTTATTATTTCTAATTTTAATTTTATGTTGAATTTAGATAGGTAGGTGGAAATTTTTGACGGGATTAAGGAATAAAATTGAGGGGAGTAATATTGTGATTGGCTTAGGGGATTGTAGAAATTCCTGGTTGGGTATAAGCATGCTTATAATTTTATCTTGTATGGAATTTTTGGTAACATATTACCCCCTTTCAGACTAACTAATGTACTTTTTCTAACATATAAAATTTTTTTTATAATGCTAATTGGCTGACAGGAGAATACTATGTTTTTTATGAAAAAAGTCACTTTGAGTTCAAAATAGGACTGCTATTATCATAATATTTTAGTTCAAGTTGAATAATGTTGTTATTCATTATTTTATAAAGGTACAAAAACAAATAAAAGATAATATAAGGCCGCCAATCATTGTCAATGTTCGAAGAAAAGTTAAAGGTAATGTTTAATCAAATAACATTTTATTTAAAACAATCAAAAATTTTTCAAATTTACAAAATTTAAAGAACCGCATTACTAAATTTTACATTTCATAGAGAAAAATTATAGAAATGAAATGTTTTGAACCCAATGATATGAAACCATAATTTAAAACTATTTAATATTTATTTAGTATCTCTCAGACTCGATGCAATTAGATAATAACATGGTTCATATTATATCAAACAAATTTTATCTAAGGTCCACCATATTTATAAACAAAAGATTCATTTTTCAAATAAGTTATTGAAACGAGTAATTTTTGTTTAGGGGGGAACCGGAAAGGGACAAATATTTTTTTTAGAAAAAACTTATAATCAGATAAAAATAAATAGTACTAAATTTTTAGCAATTATGTTAATAGTTATGAGCATTTCATATAGTATGTTTCTGAACAATTCATTTTTTTTAACTGAAAATTTTAGTTTGTTATTTGAACAATTACTTTTTTTTGGGCAATTCAGTTTTTTTATCTGAGCCCTAACAAATAATAATGAGCATTTCATATAGTATGTTTCTGAACAATTCATTTTTTTTAACTGAAAGTTTTAGTTTGTTATTTGAACAATTACTTTTTTGGGGGCAATTCAGTTCTTTTATCTGAGCCCTAACAAATAATAATGAGCATTCAATCCTTTTCTAAACTTTAGATATATCTGAGCGTTTAGAGAATATTTTCCCGGAATATTTCAGCTTTATTTTTTAAACTATATCCAGGTTCGACTTTTGATACTTATGCTCTAGACAAAAATACCTTTGAACTAGGTTACCCTATTTTTGTTCATTTTAAGTATTTAGTGGCATTGTTATATTAATTAGTTTTTACTTATTTATTATTTTTTCGCTTTCATTTATTTCGCCGGTTCTTTAGTTATAAGTCGAACCAGGATGACCATAGCGCTTAAATGGGAGCCATGAGCCACAAATTAAGTAAGCCCCTCCTCCTCCCCTAAAAAAAAGAAAAAGAAAAAATAATATTATAGTCATAAATTTTTGATAAATTTCATTATATTTTTTTAAAAAAATCCTTTAAAATGAAGGAGATCCTTTACCAAGAAATATATTTATATCTTCAGACCGTTTAGTTCCTGGGGATTTGCTGAATATACCTAAAGGAGGTTACGAATTTATGCCTTGCGATGCGTTGCTTTTATCAGGCCAATGCGTCGTAAGTGAAGCGATGCTAACTGGTAAAGATCAAATTTGTTTCATTTGGTTTTTATATTTATTTTTTTAAATCGGATATTCAGGTGAAAGTATGCCAAATTATAAAATACCCGTTAAGCTGTTGGAAGCTAATGAGATGTTTAACCCAAGAAAAGATTCTAAGCATCTTTTATTAGGTGGCTGCAAAATAGTTCAAACAGAGCTGGAATCTGGCAGAAACTACATTGAATGCGTGGTCATGAGAACAGGTTTCGCCCTCTGAATATAATTTTATAATTTGAAATTTGATTGGAAACTTCTTTTTTTTTAATAAAAAACTTAGGTTTTAACACCCTCAACGGTGACAGGATCAGATATATCATATACCCCAAGCCAACTGTTTTTAAATTTACTAGAGACATTAAATTTTATATTATTTGCCTGGCTACACTAGCGAGTATTGGCGTCATTTTTAAAATTACAATAAACGTAAGTTTTATATTATTTATAAAAAATTAATTAAAAGATATATTAAGTTATTAAAGTCTAGTTATGAGATGTCGGAATTTATAATAATATGGGATAGCTTGGATTTATTGATAACTGCAGTGTCCCCCGCTCTTCCGGCCTGTTTGGCCATAGGCATCGCCATAGCGTACAACAGATTGAGAAAAGAGAGTATTTTGGTTTTAAATACTAACGCTATTGCGGTATCAGGAGCCATCAATGCAATCATTTTTGACAAAGTTATATAAAAAAAAATATCGCTTTCCATTATTAATTACATAATAATTATTTCTTTTTTCATCAGACCGGTACTTTAACCGAAAACGACATAGAGATCTTAGGGATCATAGATATAGACAATTCGACTATGAAGTATGATATAAAAAATTGGATTCGTTTTTAACCATACTTAAATCTTCAATAGATTTAATGATAAAGTGAAATTCCCGGATAAATTGGAATTCGATTCATTTTTAAAGGCTTTAGTTACTTGTCACACTTTGAGTAATGTAGATAATATTTTAATCGGTGATCCTTTGGATATAAAAATGTTTGAAAGCACGAGATGGGTAAAAGAAAATACAGTAAAACATGTCAAGTTTTGGCACTTGTTAATTCGGTGACCAAAATTAAAACTAGTTTATGTATGCTTGGTGCCAATGATGCCTAAATTAGACAAGTTTTACTGTAAATATTAATTAGAGATCTGCAATGTCTGGCCCGGCCGGTATCATGAGCAGGGACGGACCGGACAAAGTAATTTCTGAAAATAATTATTTAGGCCGGGCAAAAATATTAGCCGGCTGAGCGGGAAAAAATTATTGGAGTAGATTATTTATGTATTTTTGATATATGATAGGAGTGGATAATCCATAAAATGAATATTTAATTTTTACTCCTAATATTGTAAATAGGTACTTATTTTGATTATCAACAACATACATTCCGGGATATTCCTGGTAATTCCAACCTGGCAGAGCCAGCCCAGAAAATTTTGCCATTTGCAGACCTCTAATATAAACATAAATAGAATTATTTAATTTTTATAATTATTTTATAGAGAATAAAAGATTACAAACTTTCAAAATCCGATATTAGAATCATATTGAAGCCGGCTAAAGACGATAACGTTTAAAATAATTGTATTTTCAAAAATTAACTCACTTACTTTAAAAAAAAAATAGAATAAAACGAGTATCGGTGTTGTTCATCGTTTCCCATTTGAGTCTGAATTGCAAAGAATGAGTATCATTTGCAATGTTTATGGCACAGATTATTTTGAAGTTTATTGTAAAGGATCTCCTGAAAAATTACACGATATGTGCGTTCCTCATTCGAGTAAAAAAAAAATTTTCAATTGAATTTGAGAAATTTCGGAATTATAGAACCCGTTTCTGCAAATTCTCTTGCACCTATTGAGTAGAATTTGAAAACAGAACCAAAACTTCTTAGAATCGTTAACAGTCTAGAAAATACTTTCTTAGAATTTCAAGGACGGTAACTAGAACTCACTTAAAATTTTTAGAACCGGGTCCAAAACTTCCTTTTGAGTATATACAAACCGAAAACCGAGCCATTGAGCTTTTTGGGTATGCCCTAAGTGTCGGCTTAATTTGAAATAAGAAGGAAGGAAGGAAGGAAGTTTTTAACATAAGCTAAAAAGTTGTTTTTGAACCAGGACACCCTATTTTGGTTTGTTTTAAGTGTGAACATGTTTGACTTTTTTATAAAATAAAACTTAAAAGCCATCAAAAGTCAATTTTTTTTGAATGTGTCTTAATAGTTCATAATTTTTGTTTTAAATCTAAATTGGGAGAAAATTGAATAGTAAATAGCATAATTATAGAATAAAAATTTTATACTGTTTAGTAATAAGAAATAAGTAGAGTATGTATTAAACATTTCTGTAAATAAAGTAAATTTCTATTCTCCATCATTGTGTTTATCTTAATATAAAAGCCACATTGCATCCTTATTTAATAATGGTATAATTAGTAGATTAACCACCAATCTCATTTATTTAACTTATAATATAAACAAAAATTCACATTAATCTATTAGCTACTTAGTCCAGTAGGGGAGTCTGGGGAGCATGCGAGCCTTAAAAGGCAAACGTCAATAAAATTAAAATTTAATAATATTTAATGAATAATATCGCATTTTATTCCACTTGTTTACTTTTATGCTATACATAAAAATAATTATTTAAAAATAATACTTTTTAACAATATTAAATTTACCAAAAAAATATTCGGGGTATGGATGAGGTACCTCCGGGGAAGGATAATCTTTCCCGAGGCGCTTATGAGCTACTAATATTAATTATTTTAAAATATTATTGATAAAAATAAGCCATGGTAAATATTTATAAAGAATTAGTGAAATTTATTTGCAATTTAAACAAATAAAGAATGGATTAAAATTACGATAGGATCCATGCAAAAAAGAGCATTTCGGCAGGACAAAGACCCGTGAACATTTTAGATGCGTTTAGATAATCTAATATAGTTTCTTTCACTTTCTTGAATATTTGTCTTGATGACCATTTTAAATCTTGTTGTTTCATTAATCTTGATTTATTTTTACTGTTGCTAACCTAAGTTTCCGTTACGGCTCGCAAGGACGGATTTTCATTAAATTTATTGATGATCTCAATATTTATTAGTTTTTTTCTTCTTTCTAATACGATTCCTTAACATATTTAAATTTCAACAAAAATATATTTAAAAAATAACTCTCAAAAAAGCTATTATGAACCAATGAAAAGTAGCCCCAGATCCTTTATATCTTTAAATTTTAATTTTATGGTAGTTTAAACAATATACTTAAATTTGATTTATAAAACGTATCCGATTTTTAAATTTTTTACTATCAAAAAGAAAGATTTTCATACCAGATTGGTTTTGTTCATTAGGTTAAAAAATACCAAATAAAAATCAAGCATTGCTAAATATTAAAAAAAATTGCATATTTCTAGTTCACATTATAAATGTTATAGTCTGTTTACCATGTATAATAATATCATCTGCTTTATCTGTAATATATTGCATATATTTGTTTATATTAACTAACACTCCCAATTTCTCTAACTTTACTCTCAGTGACGCATTGTTTTATAACTTAAAATAGAAGTAATTATGGTAGCGCCTATACTGATTCTCAAGAAAGATCTTAAATAAATAATATATATTTGAATATACATGATGAAGGATGGTTTCAAAATTCTTTCTTTCTGAATTATGAAATGATGACATAAAATTCTATAAATATTTGAGGATGAATATTTCAATCCTTAAAATTATAATCTAAATATGATTGCACCTTTTATGCAATATAAATCTATAAGACATACAATATGCAATCAAGAAAGACTAGCTATTCTCTTATATTTACATGTTTGCTCATCTAAAATATAATTTAAACATATAAATAAAATATTTACCTCGTATTCTATATTAATATGTGTTATTAAGGAAATTAAATGATTGGCATGCTTAAAATCTAAATTTCCTCTCCATATTTTTAGCTATTTAGTAGACACTTAAAAGCAAGCAAAATAGCGGCGAGTTAGTAATAAGCCAACCTAGAACTAATCCTTTTAAGTTTAATAAATTTAATCCATATTTTTTCTAAAATATATAAATATAATATCCCGTCCTAGCTCACGGAAATTAGTTATAAATTTTGACTAATTTAGTTAATTGTTATCAAAGGAATTTTGAGAAAATCCTAAAGAATTTTCAAATTTCACCTAAAGATGCTAAAAAAATTTTAGATAAATTTTTTGGTATATATTTTGTAATTTTTATGCATAAAACATCTTTTAAGATTAAATAAAATGTTTTAAAAAAAATTTTTTAAACTTTTTTGAAGATTTTTATCAAACTCTAATTTAATCGGATGTAAAACGATTACCAATTTTGATAATAATATGTTGGCTATAACGTTATAAATATTTATAACTTTACAGTTCCAGAAAACTATCATAAAGAGTATGAATCACATGCTGCTCAGGGATATAGGATACTAGCTTTTGCATTTAAATATTTAGATGATTATAAATTGGCTGACATGGAAAGTGTAAAAGAATTATCTAGGTATATTAAAATTTTTATTTAATTTATATATACATATATGTTATCGTTAGCGTCAATGTGTTTTTTCCGGCGATGTGTTTTTAGAGCGTTTTTTTATATCTTAAAATCTGATTTTACCGAAAATGTATTCCAGCATGTTTAGAATTCCAAATATGATAGAACACATTTCCGGTACAAATGAAATTTTAAGATTTAAAAAAAACGTGCTCAAAAAATGATTTAAAGTCGAAAAAAAAAATATATTGCAGAAAAAAACCCCATCGAAGCTAACATATATTCAAATAAATATCCAATGATGACTGGACGAAATGTATCTGACAAACAAAATTTCCCAAAGTTTCCCAAATATAGTTTTAGAAACAGGCAAGTGTAAAATTACATGGACAGAAATTCGAAGAAATCAAAATCCTTAAATATTTATTAGGAAAAAAAAACTGTATACGAAAATATTTTAAACTAACCTTGCTCACGTCCCCAGGAAAGTATTGACTAAAATCAGGCTTATTAGTAAAATATACAAAAAATAGTAAAAGAATTGTTCCTCTCAGTGCCCTCCCTCGTAAAAATTTATTGGCTCGGTCTTGTAAGTTGAATGTTAATTCTTTACTTATATTATGGTAACTAATGCAGCCTTTATTTGTGACAATAATCTTTCACTAACTACTGATAATTATTTATAAAAACAGGGAGTTAATTGAGTGCAATCTCTGGTTTCTCGGATTTCTAATTATGGATAACCCTTTAAAAAAAGAAACAATTCCAATTATACAAGATTTATCTAAAATCAAAATGAGAATGGCAATCGCTACAGGTTAAATTTAAAATTGCACACTTAATTATATACTTTTTTTTAGGGGATGGAATGCATACAACTATATCAATAGCTAAACAGTGTGGTTTAATTAAAAGAAATGAAAAGGTTATCATTATTGAGGCAGAAGGTGGACCGGGAAAATCTCAAGAAATAAGATATACTCGAGATACGAGTCAGGAAAGCGAAATAGTCGAAAGGATAGAACACTCGGTTTTCGCGCTAAATTATAAAATTAAATTATATAATATTTATTGAATAGAGAGGAGGTACGACTGAATATTTTGAGAATGAATGCCCCGATGAATATGCTTATACATTAGCAATTACGGGTGAATCATTTGAAATGGTGAGGAAATATTTTCCTGATATTATACCTAAAGTATTAAAGTTTTTTTTAAAACAAATTTTAGACATTATTAATTATGTAAATTAGTTGATGGTGAAAGGTGGTATTTTTTCGAGGATGTTTCCTGAGCAAAAGGCTCAATTAATAGAGGGCATGAAAGAGATGCAATACTATGTGGCTATGTGCGGGGACGGATCAAATGATTGTAGAGTGAGTTGTTAGCTGTAATTTAATTCTATTTTTTTATAGGCACTCAAAGAAGCACACGCGGGTATATCATTATCAGCGGCAGAAACATCTATATCAGCTAACTTCATTTCGAATACGCCGAATATTAAAGCAGTTAAAGTTATATTAAGGTTTATATAGTATTTATTCAAATAATTATTAACTCTACAAATGATATTTTTTATATAAAGAGAAGGCCGTGCAGCTTTGTCAACTTCATTCGGTGTATTTCAATATGTGGCAGTTTATAGCTTTGTACAACTGGTATCTGTTTTACTATTAAGTTGGGTAAATTATAATATAGCAAAATTTTTTTAAAAATTTTATATATATTCAGAATGAATCAGACTTTAGTATTACACAATATTTATTTTTGGATTTGCTTCAACTAATCATATTAATAGACCTTTGTATATTAAATTTATAATGAATTTAATTTAAGTATATTTCTTTTAGCATCAATAAGTCCTACTCAAATAGAATTATCCCCTTCATATCCAGAAGTAAGCTTATTTGGTTTTATACCTTTTCTCTCATTATTAATATATGTCATGCTAAATTCGTCAATTCAAGTTGCAGTCTTAGAGCTAACAACTTTGCAAAATTGGTATTGTTTTATATATTATTTTATGTTTTGGAAATTTAAAAAAACAGTATTACATTAGTATACAATGCACTTGTTATTTATCTATTATTAACTGATTTCGGTCAGGATAAAAAAAATAGGAATTTACGACATACCAGGGATCATGCGAGCCATAAAAGGCAAACTGCAATAAAATCAAGATTACTTGATATTATTAATAAATAATATCTCATTTTATTCCTCTTACCCGGAGCCTAAAATATTTACAATATTTGTATATATAATATTTAAAAAAAATGATAATTTCTGGTCATATAAAATTAGTCCGAAAGCTAGTTCCAAACCCTCGTTATCACTTAAAATATAATTTATGGTAGTTTATACTTTTTTTTCAAATAAATGATAATTTTATATAAAATAGGTTACTAATCTTTTATATAAATGTAGTTAGTAGAAAATTAAATCCCTCTATATATTTTTTTTAAAAAAGAATAGAACGGCAACTTAAATCCATATCTGGTCAAGGAAATTTTTATATGAGATCCAATGTATAATATTTTTATAGCCGCATATGCATAATATAGGTTAGAGATGATGAGCAATGCACCCGCCCTTACCTATGAAATTTTTTTTTGAGCTGCCGAGAAATAAATATTTGGAAAAATAAATTTGAGGAATTTTAATGTTTCATAGATGTGATAATCCATAAAGTAATAGTGTTTTTAATCTAATCACTCTCCAAGATTATGAATAGTTGTTTATTCTGGCGTTCAACAACATATAATTTGGCTTAGGCTTTGAATAAAAACAGGGCCAACAGAGCTATAGTGAAAAATTAAAACTGAGCCGAGCCGGGCATAAATTTGGACAGATGGGATCGGACATTAACAAAATTATTGCCTAGTTAGGCCGGGTCCGAAAACTTTGCTATTTGCAGACCTCTATACAGTAAAACCTGTTTTTTGGCCACCCGAGAGGACTAAATTTTTTTCCCAACTTAGAAATTTTTCCCAATTTGTCAACATAATTTTTGTCAAATTAGTGAGTCAAGTTCCCATATTAGACAAGTTTACTGTATATATTCTTGGTAAAATAAAAAATAATCATTTCCCTTTCGTAAAAATAAAATGATAAACAGAATCTTTCTGTTGATTTGGACAAAACAATCAGTTTAAATTTAACTTTCTAAACATACGTTTAATGTATATTTTTCAAGTTAAAACTTTTGGGTGGGAGGCTCAGGCCATAAAAATTAAATTAAAATTTTCAGGGCAGGCTTAAAAAATATTTAATTTTGGCTTAAAAAAATTAATTAAAATTTTGGGCTTATCTCTAAAATAAAGATTTACATATCTGCAGGACTCATGTTGGAGTAGGCCAATTTGCATTAAATTATAGTTATATTAACAGCTACAAATTTTGATCTAGGTGGTTAATTCACGCACCATTCTATAGGAAAGATTTTACTTGTTACGAACAAACTGCCGTATTTACTATGATAACTTATCAATACGTCTATTTGATTATAGCCTATTTCGAAGGCAAACCTCATCGCCAACCCATGCATAAAAATTGTAAATTTAATCCTATATATAATGTATTAAATTATAAATAAATACTTTATATAAAAAACAGACGCCCTTATTACATATATTTTGGTGTTGATCGCATTTATTATTTTTCTCACTTTAGCGAATGAAACCGTTATGCACAAATGGTTATATGTAAATTTAAATATATTAAATATACATTTTTTTATCCTAAATCGTATTAGTACCGCACTTTTCCATCAAAAGTATATAGATTACAAGTTTTTGGTGCTGCATTATTTAATGGATTTTTAATGATTATTGCAAAAGTAATCATAATTTTCATATTAATTTTTTTTTTAAATCAAAATAAATATCGTATCCATCATATTGCGAATTCGTTGATTTTTAAAATAACAAAACTCAAGGAAATTTTTTAATGGATGAAATATATTTACTAGTGTGTAGCATCAAAGGTTAGAAAGATATGGCTTGGGTTAATTGAAGGTTTTAAAGATATGGGTTTGGGTTAAGATATATTAAATATGGTTTAAATGTGATCATTTTAATTAATAATTTGTCAAATCTGACAGGTCTTGTGATTAAGAATAATTTCATTGAGTTGAATCATAATCAAAAAATAAGGCAAGCAGAAACTTTACATAATTTATAACTGTTTAAAGGCTAATCCTATCCACTACTCTCATTTAATCAACACTAGAGGTGATACGAGGTGATACTTATGATAATTAAAATATTAATTTTTTTCAATAAAAAAATTTTTTTAATCGAAATCTAAACGGAAAAGTCAAAAAATCTCATATTATACAAATTTAACTTTTCAAATATATATCCAGTTTTATGCATATCATGATAAAGGATTGCATGATAAATTGTCGCGTGTTCGGGTTCTCGCGTATGAAAGTGTAAGGTTATCAAATAACTGGCATGATGAAGTATCTCCGAACCAAATAATTTATAGTCATATCCAGTGTACTATTAAGTTGGGTTTTCCGCCATAAATTTTATTAAAGGTCTTTAGGTCTGTTTTAAGCATATAGCTATATTATATTTTCATAAAAATAATTTTGGGTGTAAGCTTATTTTTATCTATAAATACTGACCTATAATTGTTATTTTGAAAAGTCATAAACTTCTGCTAATTTTTTTTTGAAATTCTTCTTTATAGTGATATAATATTAAATATATTTGGGGGAGAGGGAGTTGGAGGGGATGGGGGGGGGGGTGTAGGGGCGAAAATACTTAGATTAAAATTATATTTAAGAGAACAAGCAAATTTTAGTATTTGGCACGGCGCCTAGAAAAATTATAAGTAAATTATCTGTTTATTACCACAATCTATTTTTTTAATTCATAAGCTTGGTCATGGAGAAAAAGTTGTTTAATCTCTTCATTAGGAAGTTGCAAAAATTTCTCAAATACGTTTTTCTGTTAATTTCTCCTAATTTTTAAATTATATTTCCTCCGATGTTACAAGCAATTTATTTAATCACTCAATTATAATGCACGGTATCTTACAAAATTGATTATAATTTAGAGGATAGATATTCCCCATGCTGGTAAAAATTTTAAGAAAAATTATGTAAAATTGTAATTTATATAGCTAAAAGGATTTAATTTAAAGTTGGTTCTTAAATCGTTTTTAAATTTGATTTTGTTAAAAATATTACCCAATAGGTGTAGAAACCCTATCATATTAAGTGGGTAGTCTGTGCAATTTTTATCAAAACGTCACAATCCATAATTGTTGGAATTGAATCTACAAAATACCATGAGATAGCACAAATATTTACCTAAAGTTATACATTGATAAATTTTTTTAAATATTTATAAATTTTTCTCAAAATTGATTCTTGCAAAGTAAATTTTTGCCCCCCCCCTCTTTAACTAATATGATTAATACCTTCTAAAAATATATTTAAACATAAAAATTTCTGAAATGAAACGAGGGTTTTAGAATAATGCTAACTTTATTTAAACATGCCACCTAATATATGGTGTAGAAACATTTTAATTTTTATACCTAAAAAACACATTTTTATCATAGACAGATTAAAATAACTGAGTAATATAAATTTTGCCTCAAATATACATATTATAGATGCTATTACTTAATTAATTAATTAAATTTCGAAACATATTCGGTTTTAAAATAAAATCCGCTAAACTGCGACTATCCCTGGCCTTCCCTAATTAATAGGGCATAATAAGAAATTTGCAATAGTATTAATTTAGTTAGGCAGTATTTAAATTAAATTGGCAGTTTAAAAACTATTTGAGTAGCGTTTTGAATTTTTGTTAAGATATGAATTACTTTTCAAGTTGTTTATTGATTTATCCACATTTGAACAAAATGTCCCCCTAAAATGAATTGGGATTTAATTATTAGAGGACTACATAAAAAAAATTTGAAATTAGAAGTAATTAATTTCGGACATTGAAATTGCTGGAGAAATTTTTATTCACAAATATAGATAATAAAATATATTTAAAAATACTTTAAAAAATATTAAATACTGGCCAAAATATAGAACTCATATAAAAATGTTACTAAACCAATAAAAAAAACTATATAATATATACCAAATGATTTTTAAACATACCATTTAGCATAGATAAAATTCCCAGGAGTGAACTTTAATATAATTGGAATCCTTCTTAATATAGATGAGACTAGCCCCTAACTACTCCAAGAAGGCAAACTTAAATAAAATTAGACATCCTTTGTCATTTTTAAAATAGAGTATCTTATTTTCTTCCTCTATATTGTTAGCAGAGTTGTTAAAACTAGATAAAGATACATCGCTTAAAGGGTACCGAGATGCCGATAAATTTCCCAAATGTATCAAGATACAGATACAGATACTTATAAAGTAGAGAGGCTCTATTTAGATTTAGTGCTCACTTTGAACAAAACAGGGTATCCTAGTTCAAAACCTAAATAAGCTAGTCTTAATAGCAATACGTTACAATAATAAGACTTTTTTAAAAAAATATCACCTAGTTAATCTGCAAAAAACTTCTTGTAAAAATAAAAATTCAGGTTAGAATTTCTATAAAAAAAATTATATTAATAAACTTATTATTTCTATTTTATTTTAAAAATTTATAATTGCACAATTATAGAGGTATTTTATCATCTTATCTTAGAAATAACGATGAATGGAAGGGGGGGGCACGAAAATCCCCCCCCCCCCACCTCAACAATTTTAAAATTTTTGTAAGTAAATCTTAAGCCAATAAATTTACCCTTACATATTCTTCCCGCTTCCCACCTTAGGTGTTTATCCATAATTTAGTTTTTTTATTCACATTTATAAACCCGAATCAAACACTTTTCAAAATCCATTTTGAACCGAACAAAGAGGGTTCTTAATTTTGTCCTAAACCTAAGCTGCGCTAAACCTCTTAAAATATTTCTTAGTGGGTTCATGGCACAATAATTTATTTATTATTTAGCGCCAAAAAATGATTTGACTTGTTATATTGATTATGAATATTAATTATTTTTTTTCTTAAAAATAAATGATGTGCAGAAAATAATTATAGAATATTTTTTGCAAAACTTCAAAAATAATTGTATCAACAAAGTTTATTTGAGATATGAAAAAATGGAAGAAGAATTGAAAAGATTGGTTAAATGGCCTCCAGTAACTCAGGATGTAAAATCCATCCCTGCCACTACTCTAAGAGAGTATGATTTTTAATAATAAAATTATTGTTTAAGCGCTCAACTGGCCTAATCAGAGCCCTCCATATTCCACCCTTCTCCCTCCATTTAAGCTAATGTTGCCATGTCTCCTAGATGCAATATAAAATTATTTAATAATAGAATAGATCTATATATTAATAACGTAATTTTCTCATAAACCTCCATGTTTGAGGGCTCTATTAAATAAGGGTCATTATTATTTAATCAATGGCTCGTTCAGGAAAACTTAAATTAAAAATTCTCCAGAATCAGCTGAACCTAGTTTTAAGAATTTTTTTTCCCAATTGAAATATCTTTTTTTATATATCTTAAATTAATTTTAAAAAAAATAATTTTGTAGGCTCAACTCGGCTGAATTACCAAATATTCCGCGAGGGACTATTATAGCCTGACTGTTGCACTCTTAAAACATTTATATTTATATTCTTTTTTAAAACGTTTTTTTCTTAAATAAAGTACATATCTCAAAAAATCATTCCTGAACTTGGTATCATTTTTCATTTATTTGTTGTATCAATAAAATTTTTAAAAGATATATATATACTATTTTATTTTTTATACGCCAATTTTATATTGATAAATTCTATGACAAAAAAAGACATGGATATTATTCTATAATTAATTAAAAATCAAGGATCTGAACCTTTGCAAATTTTATTTATGGGATTCTGGTTCCAAAAGCGGTTCAAAAAATTAATTTATTCTTATTTAAAATTAAAAATGATCCTTATACATATTTAATAAAATTTCTTATTGAAACAATAAAAATGCTTTTAAAGAAATAAGAATAAAAGAATAAAAGAAAGAAAGAAATAAAGAAAGAAATAAAGAAAGAAAGAACGAAAGAAAGAAAAAGATTATAAAATCTATGGGAGTTATAAATATGCTCTCTCTACTTAAGACAGTAGAGAGATATCTTAGATGGTTCACATAATTCAGGAAGTATATCATGTTTTTTGGGATATCATAATTCAAATATATTCTTCCTTTTTTATTAATTCAAACGAATCTTACAATGTTATTAGATTTAAAGAGACAAAATCTTATTGATGCGGTTTTAGGTAAAGGATAATTTATTTTAAAATATGAATAGTTTATAGGGTTGACTAAGAAATAATTGAAATATATTCCAAGATGAATTATGCACAAAAAAAATTTATTGGCATGAATGCATAAGATAACTTTTTTGATATATGGAGATGACAAGAAAGAAATAATGTCAACAATATAAATTAGGTTAGAAGGTTAGCAAAGAAAAGTGGGGGATAAAAAGTAGTGTGCATGCATATAAAAACATACATTTTCAGGAGAGGATAAATTGTGAATATCTTGTGGATAGAATGCTTTAAAAAAAATAAGGATCAAGGACTTAAAATTGATATGGTCATCAAATAAAAAGTAAATAAAAAACTTTTATTATATTAATATTATCAAGCTAAGTAAGCGTGTTAAGACGTCATGAATTTTTTTATATTAACACAAAACATCAATATGGGTATCAAATAAAAGTTAGATACAACATATTTAGACTTCAATATTAAATATCATTATAAGCAGCAGTCATATACTAGTTAATGCTTTTTAAAAACTCATTGTACCTTAATGATAAAAATATTTGCTTGCAACTTAATCTAATATGTAATTTTTTTATCTTAAAATTTCGAGATGATTAATTATTCGATAAATATTTTATTATGGAATAAAAAAAATTTCTTAGATTGACTTATATTGATAAAATTGACATTTTAAACTACTTATGCCACCTAGCGGATTTTCTAAAAATGAGATTTTTCCTAATTAATTTTTTGGGACCCACTCTGAAATTTTCTATATGAACATTTCTTGGTACTCTTTACAAAGTATCTGAAATTTGGAAAAAAAAATTTGGTCTAACATTTTAAAAAATAAATTACAAAACTTTAACCGCAATTTTAAAAAAATATACAAACTATAAATTAGTTTTATTTATCATACTTCAAGAGTTTACTTAGGGCTATAAAATGAGCCATAATAGATATACATAGTGCATCTAATATGAAAGTTATCCTAATTTTAAAAAATCATTATTTTCGAAAAATGACCAAACTGAGCTATGTTGAAGCCCTATATCTCCGGTTCTAATAGAGTTAAGAGTCTAATATTTTGGATTCGTCAATTACAATTTAACATAAATACCAAATTTTAACAAAATCCGAGATGGTCAGGTTGTAAAGTGATTGATTTGACATGAAATGACCCTGCTATAGTTGAAACCATCGATTCAAAAATTAAAAAATGACATTATAAATTATTCTTATTATTATAGTTATAAATTATTAAACTTCTTTACAAGCAAATTAATCCTATTATTATACTTTTTATTTTGATAATAGAAATTTAAAATACAATTTTGAACAATTATTATATTGACATTTTGGGGAACAATTAATGCCATTTTTAAAACATAATCTCTTATTGTTGCAACTTTTTTGGCAATTGCAAATTGATTTACAATTACCATAAGAAGATGCACTTCTTGATGCTGTTATTATGGAGATGGTTTTATTAAGAATGGTTAAAATTTTATTGATTTATGAACGTTCGTTTTTAAAATTCGAGAATCAATTTTTCCCAAATTAGTTCCAACCCATAGTTTCTCGTCCTCCATTTGGATAATTTTGGCTTCATTATTTTTAGGGCATAGATTTGATCTATCATTTTTATTTATTGGGATCAATACATGATCCCTAATATATAATTTTATTTTTGTAAACATTATCTTCCTTATTCCTATCTATTAAATATGCAATAAACGAAGGCAGTCTAGCTAAAATATTTTCGATGCTACAGTCTTTTGAATTTATAGTATTTTTATCTTTCCTTAACATTGTTTTGCCTATTTTATAATTCGTTTTCTCCGAATATTCAATATTGTAAAATAATTCGTAGGAATTTCCCACTTTTTATTTTGTGAGCAATCACTATACCCTATGATAAAACCTTCAGCCACATCTTACAGCAAAATTTATACCCTGTGTTAATTTTTTTTATCATCGCTCTTTTTATAAAAAAGGTAGCACATTAAAGCTATCGATACTAAAAAAAAAATAGCTATAGAATAACGCGCTACATTAAGAACACTGCAATTTAAATATTTCGGGTTCAGGATTGGAACCGAAAAAGATTTAAAAAATAAAATTGTTTATCTTTATTCTTTTTTATTTCTTAAAATTCTATCCAAGTGGAAATTTTGTTAATATGTTGAGGCTGGCTACTAAAGAAAGGGTAAGTCATTCTTAACGAGGTTTGTGTTTTGACAGAAAATTTATAAATATCCTAAATCTTAATTTATACTAAGGGAGATTAGGAATAAACGCATAAAAGAATGATTTTAATCAAATTAATTTTATATTATGTAGGCCAAACCCAACCATTAATATATTAAATTTCGATCTATCTATAATTTTATGTGAAAGTTGATTTTAATAAGCAAAATAAATTCTTATATTTGATAATCATATCAAATTATTTTTTTTAAACCCTCCCTCCTCCGAACCTAATCCAACCCATTAAGAGACCAAGAGTGAATACTATTATTTTAGTAGAAAAATATTTTAATTAGCTTCTATTTTATAGTCACATCAATATTTTGTGTGATAAAAAGTTCCTAGCCCTCCAAGACCTAGAGCCCATTTAGCGCTTAATTATTATTACAAAAATATTTTAATAACCTTTTATTTGATACCCTTATCAAAAAAAATTATTTAACCCCCTCCTTAATCCCCCAGACCAAGTCACACCTATCAAAACCAATAATGAAGACTTTCAGTCAAAATATATTAAAATTAGCTATTATTTGATACCCATATCGATTTTTTATTTTGATAAAAATATTCCTGACCCCCCAAACCTAGACTCGCTCATTAAGGGGAAGAGATTGATCTCCAGTTGAATAGATCTTTTGATTAGCTATCGATTGATACCCTATTTTAGACATATCTTATTTCATAAGGCCAAAAAAATACAATAAATTTTTTTTTTAATTAAAGAAAACGCGCGTAAAACGCAAATTCTTCTTTATCATGGTTCAAATACCGTATAGTTCTTTATCCTTTAAAAAATTGAATTCTAGGGATCCCTTTAAAACTAGTGATGATCCCGGGTAGTTCTGATCCCTTTAAAAATTACGACATATACATTTAAAAAAGCATCTTTAAAAAACTCTGATCTATTAGTAGGATAAAATAATTACCTTTTCATATCCTCTATTTTTTTTAATATTAAAAAGAGTAAAATAATATAATAAAATATATCGATATTTTGATGTCGATAATATAAGAATTCGACTACGATATGTAGAATCGTCCAGTAAATTAATATTTTAATTGAAGAGCCCAAGTTATATATGAACTTAAAACATGTGAGTTTTTACAATATTATGTTTCCAGCAATTACCATTACCCCTTTTATAGCATGGGGGCAAATAATTAAAAGGTATTTTTCTTAAAAAACCATTAAATAAAATTATATATCGGTATTGAATATAGCATTTTTTTAAAAAAATAATATTTTTTTGGATTTAAATCTATTAAGTTTTTTTTAAATTTTGGAATTCAAATGTTTTATCACTTGCCATATAAAATAAAATTTTAATAAAAATTCTTAAACCTTAATTAATCATATTATTTAATTTATTGGCAATATGAGCAGTTATAATTCACTCTCGTTTTATATTATTATATAATATAATTTTGATTGCCTTTTATAACCTTCATTCTTAAAACTTTGAAGAAAAAAAATACCTTTTATAAAATTTAATTAATTTAATCTTTAAAAAAATAAAATCGGAAGATGAAACTATTCCTAAGATTCTCGATGCGAATGTTAGTTGTGTTGATCATTTTCAATTTTTCTCAACACTGGTTGAGTGACAAGTCCTCTGTCCAAGCCTCTTCCGTCTACGGAATAAAAGGTTGTTATTTTAAAAAAAAATAAAAATATTGAATAAAAAGTAAATTCTTTGTACACAAGCCTATTAAATTCTTTCTTATCGGTTGATATACTATAATTAAAAATATAATTTTTATTAAAACCAATTTTTATAAAAAAAAAATATAGATTGTGGGGTAGTTTGCACGAACTATTGTTCACAAGGGCACGTACGAGATGATAGAGGATGTCCTACTTGTAGTTGTAATCCACTCCTCTTTTAGTATATTCTAAATGTGAAAAAACAATATTGTATTATATATATACCATATCTAATAGAATATAATGTGGATATATATATATATTCTATATCTATATCTAGCATGACTTATTTATATATAATATACAAATGAACTTTTAGTGTTAACTATATACATTTTCAAAAAAATATATATATTAAACAGCGGAACTCCCTAGTCTCATATCTTTTTTGAACTTGCAATAATTATAGTAAAATGTCTTAAGTTAAACTTCATAAAACATCATACCTAAAAAAATATATTGTTGTTGATCTTTATTAACTTTATAGGTTCATTTTTTTAAAGAGTTTTAAAATACGCGAAACAGAGGATTCAATCTCTAAACATCACCAAATTGAGGAAATCCTCTTCCATATCTTAAA